TCGCGGAAAAATCCTTCGCTGGATCAAGGCGTTTCTATCAGACAGATCATTCCGAGTGAGAATATGCTCGACCTACTTTCTCCAGCGTTGATCTTCATTGGAGTTCCTCGAGGCTCCTTCCCGGGACCAGTGCTGTTTGTGAGCTACATCAACGAACTTCCAGACGTTCTTGCGAGTTCATGTCTACTTTTTGCGGACGACATGAAATCCTGGAGTTCCAATGCCAGTGCCCTCCAAATGGATGTAGACGCTGCCAAGCAGTGGTCGTTGGACTGGCACCTTCCTCTGAATGATGAAAAGTGTCGTTTACAGGGGGTTCAGCGAATGCCTTTGTTATGCATGGTGAAAAGGGACCAGAAAACATCATGAGGATAGATGGCAAAAAGGATTTGGGCATTTGGGTCTCCTCAAGCTTGTCCTTCCCACTGCACCATGAGAAATCGGCTCAAGAGGCATTCGCCATTTTACGGATGATCCGACGCACCTTCTCCCGTTTTACTCGCATTGACTTCCAAATACTCTATGGGGCCTATGTCGCACCGCTCCCGGAATACGCCAACCAAGTTGCCTACTCAGGATGTACAAAAGACGTCACCCTCATTGAGCGTATCCAGCGAGCCGCTACGAGATTGGTTGCCGGCCTCACATCTGTGGACTACGAAACGCGTCTCGCGATGCTTGACCTCTTTCCCCTGGAGTACCCTCGCCTCCGAGGGGACCTACTTCTCACTTACCCTCTGTTTGAACAAAGCTTGGCAAATAGGTTTTTTACCGTTGACCCAGCAAACACCCGGCGGGGACATAGTAATAGAACTTTCAAGCTCAGAGTACACACATCCATTAGACAAAATTTTTCCTCATTCCGGGTAGTAGCTGCGTGGAATGACTTTCCTCCGACGGTTGTCCACGCTCCTTCTAGGACCCAGTTTAAAGCACTATTAAGCCTGTATTTATGCGAATCCTCGCACTAAAAAGCATACTGCCCCGCGCTGAGAACATAAAGAGCAGTGCTACATCCTTTTTTCACTTGTGCCTTTCATGTGAACGACAGCCACTGACCGAGACGAACAAAGCCGACCCGGGAAACTTGGGCAAAGCCTCGATCCTGTGCATCAATTCGTGAATCCGTGAGGCATGATCATAATGTCAGAGGGAGGATAAAAGTGTGAGGTGTAGAGGGTAGGAAAAGGCCCGGCGTCATAGTCGGTGGATGTAATCCGGTATAGGCGTGGCCACCGGTAAACCGGAACGGGCACGGAAGCACTGTTACTATGTGCTTCTTGGAGAAAATATCAAGCAAGATCGGATCGTTAGGATTCAAATGTGGTTGGCTAAAAACAAGACAAGGAAGGACGAAACAAGAAGCCTCCTGCTTGAAACATGACAAGAAAAGTGTAAAAGGTTGAAAATGGGGAATTAGAGCATCAGATTAGGTAGAGCAGCAAAGTTGGCATCATCCAGTCGTCAAATTGAACTAAAACCTAAACCCACCGCTGTTACACTGAGCTGAAAATTAACTACCCTGGTCAAGCTCAGTCACAGGTGAAAAGTTGGATTCACGTTAAGGCAACCCATCATGGCGCACCCGAGTGCGGATTCCTGTCGCAGTTGCATAAGTACCTAGCGATGAATCTTTTCTCAACGGTTCTTGTCACCGAAAGATTGGATGCCGGAGACCGCTATCTGAGCAGCGCGCGGATGAGGGTGGTTTACTGTAGTTGCTAACGGATTTTAATTCATTCAAAACGTGAGTTGATCGTCATTTATCCAGTTCTGAAGATTTGAATTAAGTCGTCCTCCAGGGACTTGAGAACGTATACACCGCAAGCAGTAGACACTCAGTGTGTCTCTAGACAAAAAGACCGATGGAGCATCCCCTGTGGTTCCCTTTGAGAAGTGTCCGGTAATGAGGCATCAAAATTAGCCACAAAAAACAAGGCGAAAACATCTACGAATTTTGCACTGCGTACTTGTATGTGATTCGCTGGTCGAAAAAAACTAATCACAACACTGACTCCGAAGAGAAATATGCAGATCTCATGTAAATTTTGTTGTTGTTGTTGTAGTAAAAAGTAAATCGTTCACCATGGATGAAATTTGCAAATGATGGTGCAGCTGAAATAAGTCATCGAGTTTCTGAAACCCATATGGTCTCCGTGGCTAAAATTTATGCGAGAGCGCAACTCCTGTAACTCGTTTCTGCTGTTTGTAACCGCTTGACTGGCCGAATATCGAATTGTGTCCACGGAACTCGATGGATGCTGTTCCGAGTTATTCTCGGGGAATGCGTATTTATTATTGTCAGATAAATGGTAAAGATTGACAAACAACAGAGTTCTCTATTTCAACTGGCGAAATTGGTCAGGATGCACATTTCGTCGACCATAGCGGACAGCCGAACGAACCTAGCTGCCACACGACCAACATGTGGTCAGAGGTCCATGTTACCTAATCAGCTAGCTACATGACTAGCTATCATAGCAGATGGCAGCACGAACTCAGCGGAAACACATAAGTAACATGCGGTTAGGGGTCATTGATGCCGAGTGAACTGATCAAAGAGCTCCCGTCCACTGGCAAAAGTCGAAGGTCCAAATTGCATGATGAAAATTTAAATTTTATCGGTCGTCTTGATCAGGAGATATGTCCTGCCGGGGAGCGTAAGCCCTTCTCGGTGCACAGTTAGCAGGTAACAGAGCACACAAAAGCCCATTTCCGTGTATCTTGGCCGCCAACTAAATTAAGGTGCCATATCCTCGACCACCGGTCACAGGTTGTCAGGCGCACACGTCGACGGCAGGATGTTCCCCTGGACAATCAACTGCCTAATGACGGCCCTGCCGCCTGGTTTCAAATTCCCGAAGCTTATCCACCACCCGTTTTAATTGTTCACGCAGGCCATCGAAAGCTGCCAGCTAGCTTGGAAACTATTGTACAATGTACACCTTGTTCCGCAAGGTTGAAACCCGGCAACCACCGTTGATAATTTGGGCAGCAACCTAAGAAAACAGTTATGAGAAATGCCTCTTAGTGCTCGGAACAAACCCGCCTCCGAACACAGAAAACAAATGGATGCCGAGGAGTCACATTTCCTGGTGGAAGGGACATGTGCATTCTCGTACACAGATGTCAACCCTCTGGGAGCACCGTAATGTCAGCAGCAAGGTTATTTACATAACTTGGCTTGACTTCATCCTATTTGTTCGAACGCTACGACGATACGACGTTGAAGGCCGCGATCCAAATTGTCTTAAACATTCACACGTGGTCATTCGATAAACGTGGCTCTCCAGGATTCCCCGTTGGTCGCGGTTTTACTTCGTTTCAGCAGGCTGTCTTCGAACTAGTCGAACCTCACGCCCATTGTTTCCACAAACTGGGAAAGAAACCTATTATTACTATTTCATCTATTTACTTCCCACCGTTTGTGACACCGTCCCCTTTTTGCGCAATTTCCACAAATGGGAAAGAAACCTATTATTACTATTTCATCTATTTACTTCCCACCGTTTGTGACACCGTCCCCTTTTTGCGCAAACCCCACTGCTCGCAAATCCCCCAAGCGTGCTGCATTCTCACTGTAAACGTATGCTCATACCAGAGGGTACGCCACCCACAAGTTGGGAATAAACATTATTATTATCAATTATGTATCTTAAACTTTCGCGTGAGCCCCTTAGCACGCCGGGACAACTTCTTTGTGGCGTGCTTCAGTGTACCTGAGCGATGCATCCGGTATTTTGGGTTGTCGTTTGCATCCGCCAGACGGTTGTTGGCCACATCAACAAAGTGGCGCATGCCGGGTTGCGCGTGTACCCGTGATGTCCAATCAATGGACCAAAAGGTGCGGAACAAATCGCGGAGACGTACTGGTGACCAAAAACCTACAGTACGTCACTCTGCGGGCAAGCCGTACAGCGAAATACGTGCCGGCTGTTTGCAGAATCTGTCCGTGCCCAAAATACATGAATTTTATACGATACATACATCTTCCTGATAGATATTCTAGTGTGCAAATCGCACAGCACGACGTCGCAGCCGAATGCTACCTTTGCTGTCTGCATTTCTGACACTTATTACTGCTCTACCATCATTTCCCTGAATAAGCAGGACCGCTTATGCATGGGAGCAAACGCTTTCCTTTTACGAAGGCAAACACAACCGCATGCCTGTGTCCATACCATCTGTGTTCTGGGAGGTGTGCAGCTTGTATCTACAGGCCAGATATTAGTTGCTTTAAATAACCCACCTAAAAGGTTTGTTACATGAGTTCAGTCGACTTTTGCTACATCCGCAATGCATCGAAACAGAGCTATCCGCTGTGGTCTGTGGACGCAAGTGTGGCCATAGTGCGCTTCCCCTGACTGCAGCCCAAAGAAGCGTCCGGCCTCAAGAAGCCTTGCCAGCACCCAAGGCATACCATCTTCTGCAATAAAAAACAACCATACTTTACCTAATCAACATAGATGGACAAATCTTCGGTGGTAATTATATTTGTCCTTAGTGGTGAAGATCTTGCCGAATTCATGAGCCGCAAACTGCCAGACTTCATACGACAGCGTTCCATCTGTTCGCGTGGACCTGCGGGTGCCCAACTCCTCTTATGTTAGCCGTCGGTTTACCGGAGGCCGATTTTACAAGACCTTATGGTTGTGTTCAAGATAATATGGGGTTACCAAGTGTTAGCTGCGTGTCCCCTTAGACAAAAACGCACTAGAGCGCAAGTGCTCTAAGTGCTATTGTTAATGGCAGACGCTCAGCTTGATAGCTTCCTTGGATTCCCCGACTTTCTATTTGTCTTGCAGTCCACCCACTGCATTCGTCGTACACCCATTCCTAAAGCAAAATAGAGTTGATGCTTCGATTATTGCATGAACGCACAAACACCACAAAGTTATCCTCTATGTATTCATCCAAAACCCTATCAAACGCCATAAAGAATGAAAAGAACGCAGCCTCTAATTTCTCAACAAAAATAAAAGTGAAGCCATGGCACAAGTTTAAAGTAGGATTTGCGCCAAAAATTCAGTAGTGAGATTAATTAAAACAAATAGCAACACAAGGTAGAATATGTATATTTTTGATCTGGGTAAATTTAAACGTAAATGTTTCATTCCACTTACAAAGATTTTGCAGATAAGTCCACTGTGCGTTTACGGATCTGTGTGGCTAGCCTTTCACTGGGGGTAAAAACAAACTAGTTCGCGTAAAAGTATGGAGTTTTCGAAGTTGCGACTTTCAAATGACTCTCACTGCAAGTCTCAGTGATATTTTTCTCACAACATTTTGTTTAAATAAGCGGAATTATGAGGTCACTGTCCACAACCCATTCGCGTTTTATTAACTGTTTGAGAGATAAGACACGAAACCAAATTCAGGAGTTCTGTGGTATTCTGTGTTGCAAATATGATTTGCAAATAAGACAACCTTCACAGAGTACCCATGGTTAATTCCACCCAGAAAAATAGTGGAACAACCATTGCATGCGTGAAACACCGAAAAGTAACAAATTAGTGGAAGTTTTTGGATGAACGTGCGCACAGCACTTTTGAGAAGCTCGGCACCCGGTAAGCATAAGTGTGAAATTAAATTTGGTCAAAATTTGTCATCAAGCCCAACTGCATTGGCGGAACATACGGCCAACCATTGCTCGTCATCATGACAACAGCACGCGCTGGAGCTTACCCCGGTCAGTTATCGTTCTTGCTTGGACTATGTCCGTGTGTAATGCTGATAATGGGGCATCAGCCAGCTTAATATTGC